AAGAAGAAGAAGATACGATCACTGCGACCATGTTGCGAGCAACTTTGAAGCATAATCATTCGAAAATTCCACCAAGGCCCTATTTTTAAACGATTCTCTGCTTCTGGTGCTTTATTTACTCGGGTTTTTGGATGAACAGACTACTTTTACATTTGAAACTAAAATTTTCTCAATATCCCTGATTTTGTACTATTTCAGTTATGAGTAGATAGGCGTACCCCGATCAGATACAGGGCACACCCACCCTGGTTTGTGATGTCCCGTGTTTTTGAGATCCCCCGAACCTTGCCACATTGCTAATTATAATGTTACTTACTAAGTTGCAGTAAAAGTTTTGTTATTTTAGGGCACATTTATTTCAGATATGTCTATTTTTCTAAAAAAAATACCTTCACTTTAACTCATAATGTTACTTGATAAAGTAAAATACCTTTTTTGATTTAAAATACCTACTTTATTCAAGGAGAGACATTTCGGCTATAACTCCATTGCCTTTCCTTTCAATTACAGATTTAAAGAAAGAACAAAAATGTGTCCCAGACATTTTTATTGGTGCCATTTAATCACTGATAGCAAAACAGAGTCTTCAACTGATTAAATGCTTTCCTCACAAACTCATTGATTTCACTGTCACGGGCCATCCTCCAATGCATATTTTCATAAATTCCAACGAATCCACTATCTGCAATATCATACAGTTTGACATCGGACAGTTGAATAGTGTTTGGCCGGGCATCTTCGTTTTCCCAGTAAGAAAAATCGATAATGATTTTTGCCGACACATTTTGCAGAATGTAGGTGTCTGGCATGCCATACGCATTAAGCGGGGAGAAGTTATAACCATTCGCCTAAAATAACACAAAATAGGAGCAGACTTCATTGAGGATGAATTCGTCAGGACTAGTGATATTTCACAATTCAATAAATCCGTTTGCCAGAAAGTGCATGTCTCCATCTTACCCAGTGAGTCCACGTTATTGCAACGGAAGAGAGTTGCAGATAGCACGTATACTGAATGTAACTAGCCGGTATTATGTCTTGTAAAAAAAAACATCCAGAAGCCTTAGCTTTCGGCTTAACTTCCATCCTGAATTGTGCGATTAGACCACCTTTGTACTGTTTATAGGATTTCAGTAGGTCAATTTTATTTATTAGATGCTCCACAATGCCTGCTAAATTAAACGAGGCGCCCCGACGTGGACATTGCATGTTTTCTACAAGTAATAAAAAGGACGGTAGTTAACACAGGTAGGACACTCCATATGAAATTCTGTTAGCAAAAATACTGTTCAATTTTAAGTCTACTGCCTATCTCCAAAACAGGCTGTAAAAATGCATTCCAAAAAAATGATCAGGGTCATTGTTAAAGTGGGCGCAACTGATCTCATTTAGTCGTATCGAACGCGCAAGTGCACTTCAGACAGAATGTCATTTAATTTATCCAGCCAGGTAAAGTATCTGCGGTGGATCCGGTGGGT